CTGTTTCTCTATATATATATATATATATATATATATATATATATATATATATGGACGAACTTCATGGTTGTACGACGGTGAGGTATCAGTATCAACACTGATGTTGCTGTCTTTGATGATGATGCTTTCAGTCATGGAGTTTTGACGCATTCAGTTGTGCCTTCTTCTAAGGAAACTGGCCTATTCTGATAGGCTAGTTTGCATTGGGTTGAAAGACGCATCCACGTTTCTATGTCAAGATCAACGAGGACTGTCCATCGCTGCGATGCATTAAGCTCTTTCAGGCTGTTTTCGTACGCATGGCAATACAGAATTAAAGTCAAGAACCACCTAATCTCAATGCTTTGTTTGCATCTTCTCGCAAGCACTTTCACTCATTTTCCCTAGTTCAGTAGTACCTGGTCTTAAGGCGGAGGAACACCTCGGTATCCGCGTCTCATCGCTTCGGATACGTGATTGTCCAAGGGTGATGTCATTGAATTTTTGGTACTCTAGCGCGGAGAAGTGCGAGATAGAAAAGGGATCACTGCAAAATTAGCACTGTGAAACCGCACCTTATTAGCATGCGGATAATCAGCTTAAGTTTGTATCCTGTCGGAAGTTCCTCTTCACAATGCTGAGTTAGAAGGCGGTAGTATCTCATTTGTTTTAAAACAAAAAAAGAATTCTCTCGTACCTGAGAAGTCTTAGGAGCGATGGACCATCAGTCAGTTGGGAGTGCATGGAAAGTTCACACTTTGGCGGCTTTCTCTTATCCACCGGTTCCGTACATCTATCTTTTTTGGGATAGTATACTGATCGGTTCCTGTCACCAGACTGGTTGCTTTCGGTCTAATGAAGGGACCTTGAGACACCGCTTCCTTTGTACATGGTATTTAGTGGACATCGCCATTTCTGATTGATCATCGTTAGTGAACTTCTTTTTCTCCTGCTTTGTATAGCACTTTTTCCGGTTGGACCAAGTGGTTAGAGCGCGAATTTACTGACCGGAAAGTCCTTGGTTCGAACCCGAACTCTGCCTCTCGACTTCCCCTGTCTAGGCTTGGGCAACCTGGCAGTACCGCAGCCCTCGTGCATCCTTCGTGTGGCACGGCAGCTAGACACCGAAAGGGTGCTACAGCTGAACGATTTTTTTCCAGTAAAGATCGTTCAACCTTCCATACTTCCTGACTCCCTTGAGTTTCACGAAGTATGTATGGCTGATTATTCCACACCGTTTATGAATTTGTCATTATCGACAGCATGACATCATTGTTCAATACCGATACTTCTCTAGCTTACAAATCTTGATGCGTGAATAGCCATCGGGGTGTTATCGCCAGCAGCATCCAAAATTGGTACAAGCATCATTAACCCTCTGTTCACACTGCCTCTGGTGACACGTAACTCGCGCTGGAGTTTAGAGGTGGGAACAATGACCAAATTATCGGAAGTAGGTTTCAAAAGAGGATTGGCCGCGCGTCCCAATAGTATACCCCCATGTCTCCATCTTTGTAAATGTCACATTTCGATGACCGGATACCACAGCGTAGATGAACTCATTAGACGCTACCCACTGGTTCATACAATGATCGGTTGACTAATTGTACGTCCCGCAACTGTTTTTACCTCTTGGTTTCAACCGTCTTATCGAAAACCATGAGATCACCCCCAACCGAATACTTTTCACGTGCCTTATTCTGTCATTTCACACGCGATAAAATCGAACTCCCATATACAGGTCATTAGAACCATCTGCCCCCTCCGTTATACTTAGATGCAGCGTCCAATTCCTGCCTTGGAGTCGGCCGGCTGGTCGGCCGATGTTTGTGCTTCACTTCAGTTTAAGAGGCCGAATGTTGAATTGATGCTACATTCATTTGAGTCACACCGTTAGTGACTTTGTCATCATCATCGACAGCATGACAGTGTTCAATACCGATGTTTCGCTGCCGTATAATGACTTTGAGGTACTTTGAAATATGGTTTACACTCAAGGTTTACAAAAAATAGTCGCCAGCTGTAACCTCGTGGGTACCTAACTGCCATGCCATCCTAGGCATGCATCGGGGCTATCATACTGTTAGGCAGCCAAATACAAACGGGCGTAGTCGGGATGCCGGGATTTGATGTTCACCCACTACCACCGTATCTTCCTATGGGATTTTATTTGTCGAACATGAGCATGTAATGCCAACTTACGGTTGCGTCAGGCGATCATTCTCAAGTGAGTCGGCCGCTTACATCCGCTGGCACATCTTTGCCCCGCTTCCTGGCCCTAATCACTAGTAGTGAATGTAGTATGGATGTGAGGTTAGACTTCGGCGACCTCTTTCGATGCTACTGTGAGTAGAACACGTACGCAGAAGCCACGATCATCGTCTCTTTGCTACCTTGTGGTGAAACGTGTCTATTTGTTTTGTTGTACATAGGAAAACATTGCCTGGGGTCCCATATGAGTTTTTCTCACCACTTGTCATTTCTCCGTGTTGCTATGACTTCTTGTGAACACAATGTCTACGTGTTAGGTCACAGCCTTCCCTCCTGCGGTTTTCAGTCTCTACCTTTCTCATTTCAGCCAAATCAGTCATAGTATTATCCAGCACACTTCATCCTGGGTCGTAGCGCCTCTGATTTCAGACTTCGCCATTTTGTCCAACTCTGTGGCAGAGGGTACACGGTCAATGTGCCGTCTGAGTCTACTGCGGTTGGATTTGTTTGCTGTACTTTCAGTACATAGTCTAAATTATCCCCAACGGTAACCGCAATAATATAACCAACGACACACTGAAATAACAGCATCGTTTGCTCCTTTACTTGCACAGATCAATGTGTGAATGGTGTTCGGACAAGCGGTTCCACTGAAATCGAAACTAGGATGAGCGAGATGGGCTGATGTGCTGTCGCATCATGGAGATCGTGATACCGGCTAGGACGCTTGAGGTTCAGACCGACTGTTTCTGCGTCTTGATTCGACTGATAGTCCACCGTTATGGTCGCCTCTGCGATGAAGATCGTGTGCATACCGTGCACTTTATTCGTGTTTGGTGCATTTAAGTACCCTTCCACTACTGTATATTTGAGCACTCCAATGTGCTGCTAAACAGTTCATAATTCTGCCTTATGTTGCAGCAATTCTCAGGAAATTTTACGCGTGCGATATTCGCCCCCGCGATTTGTCCTGCGGTTCTGAAACGAGAGGAAGAGGGGACTTCTTTCAAAACATACTGAAGCGAATTGCTTCAATTTGAGGTTGTTTTTAAGAGTAAAATGCGTGACAGTTCATATGCCTTACAAAGCCCTAAAAGACGTTGATGATATTTCAGCTGTTCTACACTTTCGTTGCCTATCTGCCATCCGAAGAGAGCTGAGATGCTGTTAACCTAGACAGGAGCAGTCGAGACGCCACGGTTGGATTCATACTACTGGACTTCCAGTCATGCGTATGTGAACCTTAACCACCGAGCTATCTGGGGCTCTGGGGAACTAGTGGTCATCCTGGAAACACTAAGCTGGATGACGATTACCCTTCTGAGTATCTTGGTTCAATGATTCTGTGGTTTCGGGCGAGAAGTTACGATAACACCAAGAACCTACGTTATACTAATTCGTTAGTAACGCCGAAGGATTCCAGCTGGGGCGCTGCTTACCAGAACAACATATCCCTCAACACCGATAGAATTTTTATGCCGTTACGTCACCTTTGATTACATTGTATGTATTCGTTATGGGTTCATACGTCGTTACATTGAAGGGGTAGTCCATATTAGGTAAATGGGTATCTCAACTTGCTTCCGTTTGAATGTATGGTCACATGCGTCACACTAGTCTTTCGTCACTTTTGTCTAAGATATGCTGCCTATCTCCGTCACCTTTGAAATTTGGGCAGACAAGCTGTCACTAACGTGGTGACTTCAGTACCCAAAGGGATTTCCGCCTCTAGTCGTTAACAGAAACCTTGGACATGAATGCAGTTGCGGCGTATTTTTCTAATCCGTATTTGGCGCATGATTTATTTTGTTCTTTGTCAACCGTGACCATGATGTGATGCGCGCGCATCACCTATGAGCTTACACCATATCTCTCATTAGAGGCGAATTTCACATATGCAGGACGGCCGTATCTGTGCGAGTAGATTGACCCGGTCAGCGAACATCCACTGTCTCCATAGCACAGCAGATTCTAGTGGGCCGTATCATGTCCAAAATGAGATTTTCCCTAAGGGATTACTAAATATAGAGGCGAAACCATTAGCGCAACAGATAAAGCCTACCAGGTTAGAATGATTGGAATGTATGCTGCACACACTCTACTACCATCTGTCAAGGGAAGCCATATTCCCAACCCAAGCCCTTGTTAGCGAAAGCTCTGGTAATACAAAACATGAGTTGGCAACGCTAAATAAAAGCGGTCACTTCCAACCTGAGCGAGCGCTTTGGAATATGTAAGTGGATTCCTGGTGGTTTTCCGTGCACATTTTAGATGACCTTATCAGACGCAGCACGCTCCGAAGATCTAAGGGGGCGAGGATGCTGTCACTTAGCCGGTCGACTTGGCTACAAATTTCCTCTAGTGTACTCGCGAAGGTGCTCTAACAAACTGGTCGATATCATCTTATGCCTACTTGATAGCCAGATGTGTTTTTCGGAGAAACATCTCAGACACAACCACCTTCACAGCAACGCACCAATGATGTTACATCGATTGGTGACGCAACTTGTGCGACGAAATCGCCCAGCTCAGCGAACAAGCACGTCACCAACTGTACACCTCCATTCTTTGCTAGAACTCTGTCCTCACGTTTGTACGGTAGTTAAGTGCCGGTGCTCAATAGTAGTATGTTGTCCGTGATGACGGACTTTATAACCCATTCGTATTTCCTATTACGTGCTCATGTTTTGACCCATCATGCACCTGGAGCATGGGATCGTTGTCGATTTATTCCAGCAATCGTGCTCCACTTTTATGCCACAGTTTTAATGCACCGAACGTCTCACTGCTGCTTGGGCCATGAGAACTTGTTTATTGATCGCTTCTGATCGACGTGATAATCGTGCGTGTTCTGTCTCTGCCACGCTAATTGAGTTAACAAATCACACCTCCCCACTCATGTCACATGATGACGCTCAATTTCGAGAACATTCATTAAAAGACGAAGTTTGAGAATCTGTCCACTTTCATGTCCAGCAGGCCCTCTTCACAACCTCACGGGATTTTTCTAAAAGTCGCCATAAGCGTAGTTGACGTTCCAAGGGATTCAGTCACTGACGATACTTTTGTTGGATCGGCGGATGACAAAGCTACACAAGAGTTATAGACGAACCTTTTGGAGCACTCAGTCAATGGCGCATGTGTTTGCGAAGTCGGTAGTGCGATGACTAGTTAGTCATCTTCCACTTTGTCACCTAGATCCACAGCCTCTCTTCTCTGGGTTGTCCCATGGACACACTTATTCGGTTCTCCTTGAAACCAACGAATTCTCCGTACGTATGTGGTTCAGTTCCCAGATATGTTTAATGTAAACAACGAATATGAATTGCTGAGTGTTGCTGACCTGCATGCTCACTTGTGAACCAGTTTTGATCCTTTTGCTACCGTCCAACTGAAGGAGCTGCATTGCATAACTGACGTGTAACACGGAAGTAGGAGGGATGAGATAGTGTCCATGCCTGAGCGGAAAGCTGGCACCGGTCTTGAATCATGAACCTCCTGTCCCTTCGTTTCGCGTCTTAACCACTGAGCCTTCTGGAGCTCCGTGCGACCTGTCCCTCATATAGAACGACATCGCAAGAGAAAACATCACTTCTAGGAAGGAAAACGAGAACCCCTTCCCTCTGGCGTCTTCCCTTAGAAGAGGATTGCTGTAATTCCATCATTCGAAAGCCCCAAGACGTCGATGGGAGTTAAGCAGTTACAAGGCACCGCAGTTCTCTCTCTTTATAAAAACCGTCCAAGCAGCGCCCCTGAGGAGGTCATTTTGACAATCCCGAATGTCTTCAAGTTTCCACTTTATACATAACCTCAGTGTCTGTGAACCACTAAGTGGAATATTTTTGGATAAAAATTTTCTGTGGTAGGACAACTACCGCATCACGTCTAAAGCATAGCATTCCAGCTATAGCGAACGAACCACCTGTGATTGGTTGACACTGACATCTACGACCTTCATCTTATTTCGCTTGTACAATCCCATTTTATCTTTCCTACAGTTGCTTATCTGGATTCGCGTGCCTCCCCACCCTCATATATAATGGGGTCGGTCAAACAGTTTGCATTGAAAGAGGTCGTCAGCTGGGAAGATGACTGAAGCGAGCTTTTTACTCATTACATTGGTTGAATGGAGGTATCATGGCTTAAGCACGTAGAGAATAATGGTAAATATGGACGACACTGGTGCCTCACTTTCGTAGGGGTACAGTTTATTTTTTTTCAATGTTGTGAAGCTGGAAGAGAATCAAACATCGGAAGTGCGTTGACCTAACTCTCGAAGTTTGCACAATGACAATGCTTCAGTCACAATTCTGACAGAAATGCATCAAGGTTGATGTCGGTTGACCAACCTGTCTCTAGTCAATCACAGGGAGCCTATTCTGGAAGGTGTATTCGTACAGAATGATGCCTGTAATTCAGCGGATGGGGTAGAAAGTATTATTCGTTAGGTCAAGTCTATCTCACGTATCTAGGCTCTGAGAAACATCCGGCAAAGCTCTGCATCCCTCATATTCGCATACTTGTGTGACAACTGTTGAAAGTTAATCAAGATCGATATTTTTAATGGTTCTAAAGTCCTCGCCCAGGTTTGTTACAAGTGGACAGGCGTAAAACCCAGAATACATTCATAATATTTCAGCACTAATCCAATTCAGTGATTAGAACGGATCTTCTTTCCTGCCGTTCGTAATGCGGAGCGAATAGGCTTGACCGCGACTCAATCCGTGGTTCACAGTTGATGTCAGCTAAAGAAAAACACGCGTATCATGTAGGCGTATTTCTGTAGACAGACAATGCCCATCAGATTCGGCTCGTAGGATAGCATGTTAGCCCACGCTCATTACAAGAGTGGTCAAAAATTAAGAAGAAACCTCGCAAACTTCCGTGGATGGTTCGTTAATGGATAATGCGTTGATCTAGAAACGAACTGACCATTTATTAAGACTGAGCTACATTTGAAATCACCCCGTCGTTCTCAATCTAACGAATAGGTCGATTGTGGAGGTTGAAGCTAATCTACAGGAATATGCACCCACAAGATGGTGTAGGCGGCAAGGTATATTTCTTGCAGTCGGGATACCAGTCTTTCATATCGAATGACTCTGTGAGCCTTATCTACGTTGTTGTGAACCCCTTCTGAGTAGAGGAACTACAATGACGGTTTCTCACTTGATAAGATAAAGCAAAATGACACTTGACGTGCTAGGTTAGATCTTCATTTGCCTTCTTTGACGGATATACAACCTGTAGTTGATTTGCTGAGTTTCTTTGAGCCTATATAATGTGTACTTAGTGATGCATACCTTTCGACTGGTTGATCTGCTGTCCCCAAGGACCTAACCAAGCTTTTATACTGGTTTTGGAAATCTGGCATAGTCTCATCCGCTGTACTATCCTCGATTCGTACGTACACGAAAGCGCTTTGAGTTGACTGCCATACGAATAGCTGTACAATATTCGCATAACTATCGACCTGGAGCAAAGCCCTCGTACAGTGACCCTTTCTCGCTCGTACAGAAGCTGTACTACCGTATAGCTCATACGTGCCTCTTACACGAGCATTAACAGCAGAAATATTGCGTTAGATAATTCTGCTCAAGAATCAGTTGAAAAATCACGAAAAGGCTACTCACGACTTTTGTTTGGGAATTCCAACTTATTGATAGATTATCGCACTCATTAGCATTTTTGAAACTGACACTTCTCACAGTAAAGGTTGAAAAGCGTTTGTTTCGGTTGATCTCCATTAGTCAATAGCCCCTGATCTCTTGATTCATTTCTAGACTCACTCAACGGAATGGACAGCTTACCTGCTTGGTCTTCATCTAAACGGTTCGTGAATTCATGTTCCAGAGAGACCGTGACTCGCTCTTTGTGCAGAGATTTTGAATAGGGATTCTCAACTCGTGACGTCCATAGATAAGGGCTTATCTCACATACGGAACGCCGTACATTTCCCTTGATATAACCTTTCTCACAGCCTATTCTGACCTGAGCGCGAGTCCTCGATAATGCTTGTCAAGTTTGTCGTTACCAGATTTTTTCGTCAAATCAATTCAGTGCTGTGAATGCCACTTTCTCACCAAACGCCTACAGGCCGTTTGTTTTCTAATAAAGGGAAATGCCGGTACAATGGATCGAAACGAACTAAATGAGCCTGTCAGTTGTGTAGTGGCATATCCATAGTCTGACTGACACGGGTTTTTTTCTATTTTTCCTCTTGGGGCTGCGCTGCGCTGAGAAATTTGGACAATTCCTCAAAGAGAAACTCGTTTTTTTCTATTTTTCCTCTTGTTTTAGGGCTGCGCTGAGAAATTTGGACAATTCCTCAAAGAGAAACTCGTGATTGTTGCATGCGTTGCATTCGGTGTATGCTTCCTCCAGCTTCTCAGTACGGTCATTGCATTCTGTTTGGGCAACCGCATTCGCAACTATGAAAACATTTAAACTGCATCGCCTACCTTCCCCAGCCCCCTCTCCTACATGAAAACCTCGATTCCTGCTTCTGACTGAACTGTCAGAGGCCGATTTTTGTTTTTGTTTTTCCAATTTCTGTAGCTTCTATGTTTGTTATCGCAGCTTACGACTTCGCCAATTGTTTATGACAGACCGTTTTCCTGTGTCATTGTCGCCGTTCATCGACGCCGGTGCACAATGTGGACTGAAAAAAAAATTTCATCGGTCATTTGTCTCTTCATGCAAATTTCCTATCGACGGAGTTGATTTTATGCTTTTTCCTATCTGCCATGCGGTGAGCTGTATTCATTCTATGTAGACTATCATGTATGGTTTTTATACCCAGTTTCGGACTTGCTGAAATGTTTGCTTCGTGTTTCGCTCGTACCTCATCATGATGAATCAATATGTGATGCAGTCGATGCATTTGCTTCTGGCATATTATTACGGCGATTCTGTAGTTAACACCTGGTTCGCCTGCTTCAATTCATCCGAGAAAGGTTGGAATAAAACAGCTTTAATCAACTGTTCTCACAATGTCCTGCGTTACCGTCTTCCTGTGTGCTCTGGGCGGCTTCGTTCATGTCTCGAAATCGAATATGAACGGATAAATATGCAACTGCATGTGAGCACTCGCAAAAAAGTTGTGGGGAAAAAATGGCTCTGTAATGTGCCACTCATAAGGTTGCTGAAAATCCGTCGACAGCCCACGACCGATTTCGTCGTTGGGGCTCATCAGCTGGTTTCCAGGTGAGTCTCTCGCAAATTCAAATATGTTTGCAATCTGGTCTCAAGTAGAACATGAGGCCGACGGAAACTGGGGGACTGCACCTACCTGATGAGCCTCTACAAGGGCGAAACCGGTCGTGGGTTGTTGACGAATTTTCAGCTACCTTATGAGTAGTGCGTTACAAATACACACGTATCGCGATATCTCGAATATCGTAGCGACTGAAACATGCGGCGGCCTGGTGCAGCACACTAAGTGGCTTGGAAACATCACAAACGAGAGATTCAGTTGGTTCCCAGGTAAGTCTCTCGAAAACCGAATTAGTTTGCGAATGAATGTACTTCGCTATAGGATAACTTTGTTCATAGTTAAATTAGGTAAGTTGTGTTGTCTCAATAAGCCCAAGAAATCCTCGTCTGAGTATCGGTTACACTGTTCTCCTTTTGCTCTATTCACATCCCAATCAGTTTCACCAACAGCATATGAGCCTTAGGTGGACTTGGATGAAGGGCCTCATACGACTGATCTCTGCGTTAGCCTACCACACTTTCGGTTAGAATAGTTCGATCCTTAGCGCCGCCCGATCACTTGAATGCGCTTGTGATGTGCATAGTACCTCATCGAGCATCGTGTCACTAAGGTGACACTGTCTTTTTTCGACACTGATTAATGTTCGGATGCAGATTGATAGGAACTGCAGGCGGGTTTCCGATGTTTGGAAGGCCAGAAATCGAACTGTTCCCACCTACGCATTTCATTAAGCTAGGAGTTTAACAGTGAGGATTATTGCAAGCAAGGGACGAATGTGGTAAAAACGGCTCCCTATCGGTCAGCGTTATTGAACGGGAAGTGTTAGTATTTCCTTGTTTAAGGCTTGCGTTAACGCAAAAAAGACAAGTCAAGTCAATTGTTTATCGGACAGGGACAGGTCCGTTTTCGGGAATTTAAAATGAAAATTGAGCACCCGATATTGGTGATACCTTATTTTGGGTCTGACAGTTGATGAGTAAAGCCTAGCCGTGCAATCTGCTTTAATAGTGGCGCACATTCTAAGAAGAAGATACTCGCGGTGAGCGTGGCAATCACTCAGGAATCAGCTTAACATCCGTTGTACTAGAATCTTCCGTGCAATCTGCTTTAATAGTGGCGCACATTCTAAGAAGAAGATACTCGCGGTGAGCGTGGCAATCACTCAGGAATCAGCTTAACATCCGTTGTAACTAGAATCTTTGCGTCGGTTATTCTACCCCGAGAACAGCAAGAAGGAATTCGGTCAGGAAGGAGCTGCGTGGACTGCATTTTCCCACTCCTTCGAGTGTTGCAGGTACAACATGCGTGTAGCCGACTCTAAACCTGGTTTTTCCTAGATTCAAGAGCACTTGTGCAACAACGTATGCGCCAGAAGTTTGTGAATATCATATGTTTGCATTCACGTACATGTGGTAACATGAGAGCTCTTCAAGAGCTTCCCTACAGACAGCGCCATACGACAAGGATGTTCACTCTCTCCGTTTCTGTTTAATTTCGCCATTGGTGAGATAATGAGGTGAACACTGAAAGTTCTCAGAAACCCCGATGTTCAGACCTCTAAGGAACAGAGGCTTGTCAATCTTGGGTACGCAGACGACATTGTTCTCATTTTTGAAAAAGATTAAGAAGTGCAACCATTACTTTAAAAGTCCACCAAGCCCATTTAGTCCTTTGGCATGTGCTTTGCGCCCACAAAGTGCAAGGTCATACTGCAGGACGTTAGCCTTTGGATACGCCTCTGAGAGATCAAGAAGTGACACTGGAGGTTGTGCAACACAATACGTATCTTGGATGTTGCAGTAGCTCTGACGGCAGTGACAGACGAAGTGAATGCACGAATCTCGAAGGCCAGAATTGCATTTGCCAATTCGCGTCACTTGTGGCGTCGAAAAGATATCTTACTGGATCTCAAAGGACGCGCGTATCAGGCTACGCAGTGGGATGGATTGAAGTACGACTGTGAGAATTGGTCAGTTTAGTTGGAGTATCTGAGATATCTTCAGGCTAGTGATCACTGATGTCTGTCAGACGGAACCAGAGAATTTTCACTCAGGCGATCGGGGGCGAGTTTTTGCTGTAGCAGAGGACATTTTCGTCAAAGAATGCTTTCGATACTGGGGGCATAAGTTGGCTGGACTGTGTTAAGTACATTGATTTGTCGTCTGCCGAGACGACTGCTGCAGTCTGTGTAGAATCGGAGTGGCGGAAACCCGGAAGTGGACCGGACTTGACGTGGCAGATGGGAATGCAGAATGTTCGTGCTGTTGGTGCAGTTCGCGTCCTACGATGGGGTTCACGTGACCCTCCCTGTGCTCCAAGGTTGCACACACGGAACGACCTGGCAGGCAACCGATGTCAGCGACTTTCATACCGCAACTTTCTAACCAGATTGGCAGATTGGGTGTTGGTATAGGCACCTGGGGTGTTTGTTGTAGGCTAGCCATATGTCTCCTCTATCCCATTTCTTCTATGGATTCAGAAGCTTTACTGAGACGTATTGATGTGATTGTACGGCAGTGAAGCACTAGTGTCCTGACCTGATGTTGCTCTGATGGTGGTAATGCAACGAAGAGTTTATCATTCTCAAAGCTTGAAGTTTCTTTCAGCACCAAACGTGGAAACGTAGTTGCACACAAAACGAGTGCTTAGTGGCTTATTTCTGATTCAAGCTGAGCACAGAAATCATTGGTGTCATATTACGATGAATTAGTTGCGATATTCTTCGATACTGTTGTTACTCTTCCTCCATCCTAATCTAAGCAGTCACTATTGTATAGTTCATAATTTCATTTTGGCCTGGCGTCGCATGAAATTTTCCCGTGTGATGTTTTTCAAGGTCACTTCGCAGAGACATATCACTGGGTGCAGCACAACGCCGTCGAGAATATCATTACATTCCAACACTTAGATGTTAATTGGCAGACACTAGTAACGACATGCCTGTGGCAAACCAAAAGCTAATTGGGGGCCTTTTCTCCGCATGTGTCTTGCTGTATATGGCAAACTGAGGTAGTGTGTTCTCACTCTTTTACGTGCGCCATATTACCGAAAAGCTTTCTTTCTGATCAATCAACTTTAATGTTGAAGAGTATTGGGCCTGTACAATCCAGCGGAAGTTTACATTGACTAGAACTGACTGTTTATAGTACTGGTGCATCAAGAACTGCTATCAGCCGACTATTCACAGGTAAACCATTCGAATTACATTTGGTTGTTGTCTGTATCTGCTGGAATATACCTGGTTTGACCCCAATCCATCTAATAACGCCAGTTGGTGTTGTGAGCGGAATTTTGACCTTGTTACACCAGGTTAGTGTGTATGAAAACGCTCGTTTATTCATCCGTCCAATAATCTCATTCAGCCTTGCTTTCAGTTGTTTGCAATTCTATCCATTCACTCATTCCTCCAGGCATTCTTTCATACATGTATTCATTTCACTAATTCATTGAATTTTTCGCTCATTCATTTGTTCGTTATTTCATTCATTCATCCATCCATTCATTCACGACCTTTTTACATTATTGCTATCGCAAGAGAAACGTTGGCTTCATTATTCAAATTCGTCCACCTTCTAATTTGACTGACACTTTACATCGGTAGGTTCCATC